GTCCCAATCATTCTGGAAGACAATAGGTTATGGTAGAGAAGTAACTAGTACTAAGACACTCTTCACGCTAAAATATTCTATGAACTTAATTAATATCTTCATGAGAAAGCAGAGGTAGCTCTGCCGAAATCAACATGAAGTTTATCAAAGAAAACAGGGTGCAGATTAATCCTTAAACATTTCAGCTTCTATACAAATACCTTTGTATAATAAAATCATTTCCTTATTTTGCAATATATTTCACGAAGGATGACTCCCAGAATAAGACTCAATAAATCTGTAAAGAGTTTAAAACAGATGTTTCAGATCAACTTTCATCAGCTCCTGCCAGCATGACCAATGACCAGAAACTGTGTAAATGTAGTTCAAAACATCTGGAGGACATAAGATTACTTTTTAACTAAAGATTTACTTTTTAAGACACTCTTGTCAAGCACAACTCCCCAGTAACTACATAAACACATTTTTTCACAACAGAATGGAAATTGCTTGCTATTGTCTTCTTCTGAAATGTTTATTTATTTGATTGGTTATTAAATTAATATCCACTGCAAGTAATCAAGCAGTCTCTTTGTTTACAACAAGCAAAACATAAATAACTGCTGTGATTACATTTTAAAGCATTTATGGTACAAAATAAAAACAACTCAAACCACGAGAACGTAATAATAATCAAACTACCAATAATCAATTGATCAAGGGCATTATTTGCATTATTTGAATCTTCTTAAAGCATCTCAAACACTTCCATTTCAATTAACTTTCAGAAAATTAACAATGTGGGAGCAAGCCTGATTTCCATAAAATAGGCATCATCGCGGAAAAGCAATTATCTACCCATTTCAGCCCCATTGCTACATTCAAAGTAGGAAATCATCTCCCAGAACATACAAGTCAGGTTGGTCAGTTCTGGGCTGCCAAAGGCAGTCCTACAAGTATCCCCATCACAGGCCACATATGGCTCTGCAGGTAATAACCAACACTTTGGATTTTACCCAGAAACCAGAGGAAGATATTGCAGAACCCAAAGTATCAAAGTAATGTGATCATTGCAACCATAACTGGATCACTAATTCCTGAGCAACTGAAGCTTACGAGTGATCTTCAAAGGCAGTCCCAGGCAGAGCACTTTGCAAAAGTTCAGGTGAGCAATGATGGCAGGATGCATCACTGTTGCAAAATCTTCAGGTAGGGCTGCAATTGGCACATCAAAGAGAGTTGGGCACCTCTAGCTCACTAAATCATGAATCTGTTCTTTCAGGAGCAATATCATCCCCATCAAGAGACAACACCAGAACTGACAGAAAACTTTGATGTACAAACAATCTGTCTTGACAGGATTCAACCTCAATCTATTCCATGTCATCCAGATCACAACTGCGCCATAAGAGATGCCATAAGCTTTCTTAACGTAACTGTAATTTCCAACACCTCTCTATTGCTGGAAATAGTTTATAACAAGACCAGACAATCTATAGCCCTCCAGCTGTTGTTAAACTACAATTCCCTTTCCTCTAATATTTAGCTAGCCCATCTGCTGAGAATGGAATCACAAAATTCCTTTGCAAGACAAGCAGGAGAGCCTGGAACTGCCAGCTGTCTGCAAGGACAGCTGTTTGAAGTCAATTCAGTTAGCGCTTACAGACATCACCCCTTCACAAAAATCCAGAGAAGTCCAATGCAAGTCATGATAATATCCTGCATATCACCGTATCATTGCATAAATGTGTAATTTATGTCATTTGCACAATGAAATCATGATGCATGTGCCATCACTTCCCTACTCCCCAGACACCTCTAAACATACATTTTGTCTTCATGTTTGAAGTCCTGCCCCCATTGCTGTTGGAGGGTAGAAGTGAAGCATGAAATCATGAATAGGAATTTGGCAAAGGTCTTTCTCCAGGGTGAACACAGTTCCTGGCCATCTGGACAATTGGACAGTGAGATTTAGAAATTCCCCATTATTTCCTTCCCAAACCAAGATTTTTCATGCAAGAAAATCTCCAGGAAGGAAATACTGGCCATCCTCAGCAGGCCTCAAGAAGCCTTGCAGGGTCACACCCTGAACAGATGACTAGTGCCCAAGGGATGGAGAAAGTGTGATAGGACAACCAAAAGAAAAGGAAAACTTCCTCCTTATTCTACCAGGTTAGTTGCATGGTGTCTATTAGGCTTTGCCAGGATGGTCAAGTGTCTGTGAACAAAAACAGGATAAGACTCAACCAATGCCAGGATTAGTGTTTAGTGTTTATCATTTCACTACAGCAGTTGTGGAGGTCCAAAAGCCAAATAGCTTCAAATCATCCAATGAACAGTTCAGATAGTTGCACATTTGAACCTGGATCTCCCAAAACAAGGCTTGAATAGCAACAGCTGGTATAGAGACAAGAGACACAGTGTAGTGAATTAAATTCCATGCTCCCATTTATTAATCCTAATGGTCTGAGAGAGGGCTCCAGTGGTGAAATACAAGTAGTCCTCATCACCCCAATTGAGGCCAACATTTCTGTTGCTAAGAGAAACAGTTGTTAAGTGAGTTTTGCTCGCTTTTACAACCCTTCTCACCACAGTTAAGTGAATCACTGCAGCTGTTAAAATTAGTAACACAGTTGTTAAATGAATCCGGCTTCCCCATTGACTTTGCTTGTCAGAAGGTTGCAAAAGGGGATCACATGATCCCAGGACACTGAAACCGTCATAAATACAGGCCAGTTGCCAAGCATCTGAATTTTGATCACGTGATGCTGCAATGGTCGTAAGTGTGAAAAACAGTCATAAGTCACGTTTCCCAGGGCTGTTCAACTTTGAACGATCACTAAACAAACTGTTGTAAGGCGAGGACTCCCTGTATGCATTCTGCCCTTATTGAATGTCAGGCATAAAATGACTTTCCAGGACGGGGGGGGGGGGGAATCTAGAGTGTGTAAGAAAAGGCAGTTTAGAAGCTTGTTACTACTGCTGGGAGATTTGGGATGGGGGCGGCCGGTGAAATACAATCTGTCGTCCGGCCAGATCTGAAGGAGCAGAAAAATCAACCCGCTTGTCGCCCAACCAAAGACAACCAGCAACCCAGATCAAAACGGAGCGCGCGGTTTCTCCGCCTCTTCCCAGCGTTATGCAGCACTTCTGCTGCCCTTCCCCCTGGCTGACCGGTGCAGGCAGCCTCTTCACGGCCACAAGATGAGCGAGTCTGGTGGCTCCCACGGCCACCTTCCCCCCCCCACCCTCACTTGGGTCAACCCTTCCCCCCCCACCCTCACTTGGGTCAACCTAAGCTCCCGCAGAGCCTCTTCAGAAAGCCGCTTTTCCCAAATAAGCCCCTTCTCGCGGCCTGACCTCGCACCTCAAGTCAAAAGGGGAAAGTAAAAAAGGGCGGAGGGAAGAGAAGAGCCGGCTTTACTGGCAGCCGCCGGGATTGCTTCGCTCTCCGCTCAGGACACCAAAGCCTTCACTTCACACCTAAGGGGGACGGGGGAACGGAGCTTTCCCCGGGTTTCAAAGCCAGGAAAGGTCGTGGAGAAGCCTGGACTCGGGTAGTCAGGCTGCAAGGAACCCCCGGGGGCGGAGCCGGCAGTCCCAAGGCAGAAGCCGCGCTCCAGAGTCACTTCCAGGGGAAATTCCCCAGGGAGAATTTGCAATTGAAGCCTCCGCACCTTAAAGGAGAGAGGAAGAGGTGTGCGTGTGTGTGTGTGTGTGAGTGTGTGAAAAAAAAACAACTGACAAGACCAGAAGACGGGAAAGGGAAATCTCGCCCGCATTTCATCTGACGTAATTTTAGCCGCGGCCCGATCGGTTTTTAACCCTCAAAAGGTCGGCGATCTTTTGGCAGGGCAGCCCCATGTGTACGAAGCGGAGCTCGGAGGTGTTGGAGGCGAGGTCTTGGGGACCAGTCACAAGAAGCACCCTCTTTTTTTTTTCCCCCTCCAGCCGACCCGTTCTTAATCCCGTGCCCGAGGCCTTGCCGGTGAACTAGTTTGAGATTTAAACCAAAACGGGTAGCGGAGGCTCGCTCAGCTCCGCCCCGAGCCGCATTCATTCTCTCTCTCGCTTCGTCCGGAGCGTCCATAAATAGTCGCTGTCCTGCGTCAGTCAGGCAGCGCGCGAGCTTTTCTCCCTAATTTTTGCCTCGCTCCGAGCGCTGATCGCCAAAGCGGCAAGGGGAAGGGGGGGCTTCCTTCCCCTCCCACCCCCCGTTGCCGACGCCCCCGCGCGATGAAACAGGGCTAAAAAAAAAAAAAGAGGGATCGGATGATCGGGATTATCTTTTGATCTATACAGCAACGTGCGGAAAAGCGGGCGCCTAGAATAACCTTCGCCGCTCCGCCCCNAAAAAAAAAAAAAAAGACAACAACACTCTAATCGCAACGATCGAAATCCAACTCAAGATTCCCAACCTGGTGCTTTTTCCAGATGTGTTAAGACTACGGGCTTCCGACCCTTCCCCTCTGGCGCTTTTCGTCGCAATCGCCCCCATACGGATTTGGAAACAAGTCCCCCTCCCCAGTCTCGAGGTCTCCCCCACCCACCCATCCCCCGCCCCCGTGTCTTTGGGAACACGGGTGCAGGGGGCTTTCCGCCCGCGGATCTTTCCTCCTTCCCATTCTGCCCAGCACCAGGACCTCAAAGCGAGTGCAAAAAAAAAAAAAAGACAGAGAGAGCCAAAGCCAAAGCCCCCCCCAAAAAAAGCCCCCCAAAAGGCGGGTGTAACGTGGTGGAAGGCGAAGGCAGATAGACAACGTGGCTGAGCTGTCAATGTCAACGAAAGGAAGCATACGGCGTGGGGGGGGGGGTTTATTGGAGACTGGTGTATTAGGTTGCACCCCCCCCTTCCGTATTCCACATAACCACAGCAATCGCAACAGCACCCCCCCCCCTTTTTTTTTTCCCTCTCGGAGATGAGGAAGTGACCCCCCGCAAATGCTCGGGTTAGATTAGCCTCCGAGAGCCTTCCCCGTTATATTTTCCGGATTTTTCTCTCCTGCCAGCCCTTTCCTTACCTTCTCTTGGGCCCTGGTGAGCTTCTTCTGCATGTTGCTGGCTATTTTCCCTGCAGTGACTCCCTTGCCCATCTCAGCCATCTTGCCGTCCTTTTTTTTTTTTTTTTAATAATTTTATTTTAAATCTGTAGGACGGTGGTAAAATTAATCAGATTAAAGGAAGAGAAGAAAGGCTAGGAGCGGAAAAAATGGCCATGGCGCTCCTCAAAAGCTTAGGACCAAGAGGATACAGCCTTTTAAAGAGACAGTACAAAACAGGCTCGGCAGCGTCTTAAAGGAACAGAGCACCCTGGTTTGAGCAGGGCTGCCCAGGAAGGCTTCTGTCTGTGAAATGGGATATCGTTGATATGGGATAAAAATAATCAACCCGAGACAGAATCAGGATCCGATAGCGTTTAATTTTTTTTTTCAAGAATCTGACTGACTAATGGCAAACCTATTGGCATATGGATTAGGGCTTTTAAAATATATTTTAAGAAGGAATTTAAGAAGAATAACTACGTGTTTGTTTGTTTAGAATGCCTTGCACTAGTCCACTGGGAAGTGACAACAGTAAGGCGTAAGTAACCATGAGTAGGCCTTCCCAACCCAGGAATGGGTGCAACTGGCACACAAGGCACGTTGTGCAAAGCACCCCTGGCCACAGCTGCCACCTGCTTTTCAAATAACAGCTTGTGAGTCCAAGGGAAAGCCACACACACACACACACCCAGACTGCACACAAAGTCTGAATAAGGCAGTGCCTCCACTGAAACCCAAAAAAATCATTATTATGGTTGGTTGCAGTCTGCCAGATGTTTAGACTGGATTTGACATTTTTATCCACCTATCAAATTCTTCCCAAGGACCCTGAGATAGGCAGATGTTGTTGCTTTTTGGTGTTAAAGGTATCATGCCAAGATGTAAACTGTTCCAAGTAAAGCTGCCTTTTGAAATTGACTGATGGTGATTTTATTAATGCCAATGGTATTCAAGTGGAATCTTGGGTTCCTCCAGACAGGCAGTTGCAGATGCTGCCCATTCATTTTTTTTCTTGTGTTTTCATATAGCTAATGCAGAGAGAAAAGCTAAATGGGGGGCAAAAAGGACCAAGTATCGTAACAGGCCATGATGTCAGAATGCAGGGACAAAAGGGCAGAGTATGCATTATGAAATCACTGTGCATGTGTCAACATGTTTCCATCACCTTGCATTCCATTCCATTCCCCACTCGCCCATCTTTTTTATTAGTCATATCAATGCGTTTTCTTTGTTTTCTTTTTTGATTATTTTGTTTGGTTTAAACTTCCTTTTTACTTCTTAGCTTTCATTTATGGGTGTGAGCCACCTAGAGTAGCCCCATGGTGAGATCGGCAACAAATAAATTTAATAATAGTAATAATGACTATGGAATAGGCCAGCATCCCTTTCTTGGTACCATCTTGATGTGTGGACTTCAACTTTCAAAACAACAAGCAATGGTTATGATGCTGAAGAACTCTGGAAACTGAAACCCACACATCTGGAGGATACCCAAATTGTAAAATGTTGGGTGGGATAGGTTTTGTCATGAAGCTGCTGCCTCCCACTCAAGTTCTCATTAAAAATGTTAAATAGTCTATAGCATTTTATTTGCATTGAAAATCATCCAATTGTCTTTGGTTGAGTTAACACAATATCCTAAATTAGATTGCAAAGGCCACAAAAGAGAAGTTTAGAGATTAGTGGTTACCTACCCTAGCACACTCTATTACATCATTTATCAGTTGTGATTGTTTCGATAAATTATGACTTAACAAACTGTGGCCTAGTTTGTACCAATCTATACATGACGTGCATAATCATCTGTAACAATGTAGAGGAAGTTAAAAAGCAGAGATAATGTTATGTCTTAGGCAAAAGATTAATCCATGTGGACACATCGGTACCAGTGAGCAATGCATTGAGCTAATTTCTTTGTTTTACTGCATGGGCATTCTGAGAGTCCTAATTGTCAAAGCACAGGAATGCTTAATGGGCTGAAAAGAGTGAGTTCTGAACTGCTAGCCACAGTGCACTTTGGGTTAATATAGGCCAGTCAGTCTCTTGTGAGGATAAAATATGCAGATTTCCCCCCCCAAGAAAGTCACCTTGAGTTCTCTGAGAAAATGTGGAACATTATGACAATAAAGAAAAAAAAAGTATAGATATGTCTGGAGGACATCTGATTTAAAAATAGTCTTCTTTAAAACAACTGGACTTCTTTGTTGTTGGTTTGTCCTTGAAAACATTTCACTTCTCATCCAAGAAGCTTCTTCAGAACTTCAGCAAAAACTTCAAGGGGAAAAAATAACCCCAAGAAATTCCAGTTTGCCTTTTGGAAAAGCACATTTGGGACAACCATGACCTGGATGATTGAGAATTTCCATAGACATTCTTCAAAACAGGTTCAACTTCTGGTGGTTTCATGGACACATCTGCACAACTTTCTTAATAAGGTAAGGGAATTATTTGCCATTGCCTTCTGGAATATATTTTTGATTTCCCATTGTAGTCTATAGTTCTGAATTTGCAATTTGATCCACGCCCTAAGCATAAGCAACCCTGCTTAGTTTTCTTTAATTTATACCTTTACTTTTTTAAAATAAAATGATGAGTAAAAATGAAAGATTACCAAACTAGTCAAAACACACACACACACACACACACATAAACCCAAACAGCAAAGACAAGGGACTTGAAAAGTTAAAAAAAAAAAAAAAAAGACTGTCACCTAGAAACTGTATTTCTGTCTGTTGTCTCCATAACAACAGTTGGTTAATCCTGTCTGCACACTATGACAGGTAATAAAGTAGAGTCCAAATATTTATAGGAATAACTTGATAGTATAAGTTTATATTATATACTATATTTACTTTATGGTTTAAAGTGGAAAGACCGGAGAGTCATATTTCGAGTTATCCCATCCATTTTTGCTATAACCAATTTGGGCTGAATGCCAAAAAGCTGGAATTTTCCTTCAAATCAAGTTTAATAAGAACAAAATCAAAGCTTGCTGCAACAAACGCTCAAAATCCACATCCTTTCTCTAATATTTCTATGCTCCCAAACACAATCGATAAAAAGAATATTACTGAACACTTGCTCACAGGGAAGTTGATATAGGATTGCAAATTTAAGCAATAATTAAAGACTTCTCTTCAAATCTAATTATGCAGGAATACATCTCCAAGAGTTGTAAACAGGTAGCCCTGAGAAAGGATGCACATTTGCACCAATCTGTTGTTTGAAGAAGGCCAGGGGACTTTGAATATTTTAAATCTTACACTCAGTTGTGATACTTTGTGATATATAGACAATGAATGCAATAGATATGTAATTAGAGCTGGTTTTTAATCTTGTTTTCTTATGACAATACTGTATAATTTGTATTTCATACTATTGTTTATAGATTTGGATATGCTATCATTTTGTGTGTGCATTCATTCTGTAGCTATTTTTCTGAAAAACAGCATGTGAAGAACTAATATTTCTGGCTGATCCATCAGCAGGGAGAAATATTAATTCAGCAAGCTTCATAATGAAAGGCTTATTTATTTACTCTCATTGTTAAGAATTTCCTGTTATTAATGAGTTACCTGCCTGGCATAGGTTGGTCTGTCAGAGGCCACAATGATATCACACAGAGACATTGTGCCCTGATTCTTTTTAGTTCTTTTGTATTTGGTACAATGTTTGTGTAAATTGTTGACTTGAGGTATATCCAGATTGAAGGAGGGAAATCAAAAGGATCCTTCAAGTTGATGGGAGATACTGTTCAGATCTATTATAGTAGTAAGGAAACGTCTTAAGTTAGAATCTATTTAGAAATCTGTACATGTCTGTGTATATATTCCAAAAGAAGGAAAAGAAACAAATAAATAGTAATCAAATTATCTTTATAACATGACATAATTTAATATTGCTTGTTCTCCTGCTTTTTATGAGTAGCATCTGTTCAGTTATTAATACTGGCCTGTGTCCTGTAGATTCCACGTTTTCAGTTCTTAACACAATCTTTGAATTAGGCCAGTACGGTACAGTTTGTTTGGTAACATTATTTTGTGAAAACTCTGGAAAATAAGTATTGAACCATTAGGAGGTGAAGTGTGCCAACACTATGACCCCAATATAAATAACCAATCACAAATGAAATTGGGGAAAATGTTGATGATCTTTCAATATACAGTAAAAACAAAAAGATGCTTTTTTTAAAATGAAGGGCTCTAGATCCTGTGGGGATTTGTTGTTCAGTGACTAGTGTGTGAGGATATGACTTCAAAACGAGCAATGTATCACATTAAAAGAAAATAAGCAACTGGCAAAACCTGAATTATGAGTCATCACTTCAGTGACAAATAGTTCAGATTATTCCAGGACTGCTATGAGGAAGGTGGAAATAGAAATACCAGTAAAATTGTAAAAGATTAGATTAGGGGATTCTGATTCCAAATGAATCACTTTCCTGCTTTCTTGTTTATTTGTTGTTCAGAAAAGAGCTATGCAGGATTTCCAAAGATGCCCTGGGCTAAGAGATGGCAAACAGAGACAGCAACCATTGTCTGCCTTTATATCATTTAGCTCTGTGGAAATTGTGGTTGGAAATGGCTGCTGCATATAAAATTCCCCAATAATTAATGTAACATGCAGGTTACATACAGATTACATGGAATAGCACCAGTCAATGGCTTTTGAGAAGATACAGGAATTTAGAATTAACTATTCACCTTAAGTCATCAAGACTTAATATTTTTGTGTAATATTGTTGGTGCTTCTGGCAGGTCATATCGGGAAGGTAACAAATTAATAATAGAAAAATGCATCAATAATGGGAGCCAATTGGTTGTCCAATGCTATTGAAAAACAAACCAGAAAGAAAATACTGTTAACTAAACTCCAGCCACAGATACAGTTCTTTTGTGTATCCAGCATTTTACACTATAGTGTATTCAATACATTATATCTACTCTGTGTAATATCATAGTGGCCTCTGACAGACCAACCTATGCTGGCAGATACTCTAAATTCATGGAATAATTAATTCCCCAGTTTAATTTTAGTATGTACAATATTTATTACTTTTCCTGTTACAGCAACATATGCTGTATAATGATGAAAACTTATGAGAGTCCAGCTCAACAATATTTTCATTTTGATAGTAGCTTGGGTTATATCTATTGCTTAGTCATAATATTATCTGTTTGGCCTTCAAGTTGGAAAGATGCATATCCATCATGGTTTAGTAA